GTGGTCTCTTTGTAGGGGGTAGAGAGAGAAACACACTCGCCCACGCACAAACACAAAGCGGAGGAGAGAGAGAGACGGACAGACGGGCGCCCGAGCCGGGTACACGGGCCGCGAGCCGACCCGTCAAGCCGAGCCGAGCCGAGCCGACTGTGACTGTGGTGGTGCTGGCGGTGCTGGACCGGTGGCGGTGACCGGACCGCGTGGACGGGGGGTCGGGTCGGGGTCCGGTGGGCTCGGTGGCGCGCGGTGGGGCCGGGGTCGCGGTCTGCGCTGCGCTGCGTTGCGTGTGCGGGGGCGGCCTGTCTGGTCCGGTCTGACCGGGGTGCAGCGAACGGGGTGGGTGGGCGCAGCGCACCTACGGGACAGCTTTTTACGACCGAGCCCCATTCATTTCCCGCTGGGACGCGCCAGCCAGCCAGTCAGTGCCGCCCGCCCGGCCTCCACACGCGCGCCACGCTCCCTCTCCCCTCCTCTCTCTCAAAATATTTATTTTTGAACCATCGCCATTTTTTCCTAATAAATGAAATGAACGTGCTTCGGTTTCGTAGAGCGAAGTGAGTAAATTCCCGCCAGTTTCATGCAAGCGCCGGGCGTTGGCGATCCACTTAATTAAATTAACCACAAGCAAATTGAAAAGGATATAAATTAACAGCACATACTACTACTCCTACTTGTGTTCTACTCAATTATTCCTCTTCTTATTTTTGCGGGCTTTGATTTGTCAGGGGTTGGGGGGTTTGTATTCGCGTGTGTACGCGGGTGGTAACAAACTCGCTGTTGGAGCAAAACGATGGATATTTCCTGGTGGGTTGATGTGGACGTGCGAGGTGCTTTGCGTTGCTTCCTTTCGCCCACTTGTTTGCATCGCCCGGTTTTCTGCGCAAACTCATCGATCCTACGGGCGACAAGGCCTTTCTTTCTTGGGCTCGGGCGGTAACGCGATAAGCACACATGACGGCAGCACATGCTTTTCCGTTTCCTCTTTTGCGGGTGGTACACACCGCGGTGTTGCAAACGGCTCAACGAGATGGGGTTACTGATTTTATTGCGGGGTAAACTCGACTGACCCAAACGAAAATCAGTGTGGAGCGATGTGGATGTCGGGGGTGTTATCCTTCTTTTTTCGAGAGATGGGGAAATGGACGGTGATGATCAATGAGGCCATCCGCCCCTTCTTCTTCTTTTTCGGACCGAATTTAGGAGAATGATCCACTTAATTAAAGTAAGGCTTTGCGGTGTTTATTCGTTTGTGGCCAATTTTCGTTCTCGTGCCTGAGAAATTAGGAGAATGATCTGGAATTGTTATGTACTCTCTCCATCCCTGGATAAGTGGCGTGATTTTGAATGATGAATCCTACGGCATGTGTCGTTGTCTTCTAAAACAATTTACGTTTCCAATTATACCCGCGTGCATCCGAGCGGTTTTAATTCGTGGTGTTATATGCGAGGGCACACATTTACTACCGCAAGACGGTAGAGCCGTGATCCCCGCGGCCTACAATCTCTCATAGCCGTTGTCATCCACCCTCGCCCCCTTCGCCCAGTTGTTGAGACAAGTGGATGTAACAAGTATATATGAAGATAGAACTACACGGGGACACGCGCTTTGTTGCGCCATTTTTCATCGCTCCGGGACATTTTTTGTCTATCAATTTGTTGTTCTCATTTGTACATCTTCTGTGGGGGAAAGCAATTTATGCATGTGACATATGAATGCAATTTCCTTGCTTAATAATGAACTGAAATATTAGCTAATCAAAAAATTATCTGTCTACTTTGAATCTCTTATCTAGTATCAAACTTGTTTTATTTCATCACTGGTGTAAACCATATTTTGCATATTGCCCATTTTTCATCTTATAGGAATTCAGTTCTAATCATACTTGAGTTCATCTATATCCCCAAGAACTAGTACAGCTACTCAAACACGAAAAGAGAAACACATAGAAGGGAGGAATAAGAAATAAGCTGACACCGAGTCGGGGAAGGAGAAGGGCATGGAAATGGCACCGGCCCAAAGGCCGGTGCAAAGCGTCGGCGGAGCCTCCTCTTCAATCCTCTTTTCTTAGCCCTTCTTCTATGCCAGAGATGAACTTGGTGCGGCAGGGGAGATGACGGAGATTGATAATCAATGATGGTCGGTGGCTAGTGTTGGAGGTATTCATATAGGTGACCTCCTAAAGCCTCCTCCGTAGATATATCTTCTCTCGTTGATCCAGGGGCTTTAGATGTGACAAATCCTCACCCAGATCATCCCTTGATGGCCAAGAAAATTGTGGGAACAAAGGGGGACGAAATTTATGAAGAATCATGAAGTTTGGAGTTGTTTACGCAAACAGCTCAACGAGATGAGGTTACTGATTAATGCAGGGTAACTCGACTGAAAGAAAAATTAGTGTGGAGCGATGTGGATGTCTGGGTCTTATCCTTCTTTTTGGGAGAGAGAAAAACGGACGATGGTCAATGAGGCCATGTGCCCCTTCTTCTTTTTTCAGACCGAATTATATTATGCTCTGCGGTGTCTATCTGTTTGTGGCCAATTTTTGTTGCCGGGCCTAAGAAATTAAGAGAATGATCTTGAATCATTGTGCACTCCCTCCATCCCTGGATAATTGGCATAATTCTGAACGACAATATCCTGCAATATGTGTTGTTGCCTTTTAAAACAATTTACATTTTCCAATTTTACTTGTGTGCGTCCAAGCGGTTTTAGTTCGTGGCGTTGTATGCGAGGACACATATTTACTATAGCAAGATAGTAGAGGTGATCCCCTCGGCCTACAATCTCTCGTGGCCGTTGTCATCCACCTCCACCCCTGTCGCCCAGTTACTGAGACAAGTGGATGTAACGAGTATATACGAAGATAGAACTACACGGGGACACGCGCTTTGTTGCGCCATTTTTCATCGTTGTGAAACATTTATTATCTCTCAATTTGTTATTCTCATTTGTACATCTACCGTTGGGGAAAGCAATTATGCATGTGACATGAAGGCAACTTTCCTTGCATGATAATGAACTGGAATATCAGCTAATCAAAATAATCTGTCTAATTTGAACCTCTGATCTGGTATCAAACTTGTTTCATTTCATCACTAATGTAGATCATACTCTACATATTGCCCATTTTGCTTCTTATGGGAATTAAGTTCTAATCATACTAGAGTTCATCTATATCCCCAAGAATTAGTACAACTACCCAAACACGAAAAAAATCATAGAAGAGAAGAACAAGATACAAGACGAGGTCGAGTCGGGAAGGAGAAAGGTATGGAGATATCAGTGGAGATAGCACCGAACCAAAAACCAGTGCGGAGTATTGGCAGAGCCTCCTCTTCCTTCCTCTTTTCTTGACCCTTCTTCTATGGTGGAGATGGTCATGGTGTAGCAGGGGAGATAGCGGAGATTGATAATCGATGATGGCCAGCGGCTAGGGTTGGAGGTGTTTATATAGGTAACCTCTCAAAGCCTCCTCCATAGATGTATCTTCTCTCCTTTGATCAAAGGGCTCTAGATGATATAAATACTCTCCTAGACCATCCCTTGATGGCCAAGAAAGTTGTGCAAACAAACAGGGACGAAATCCATGAAGAATCATGACGTATGGAGCCATTTTCACATCTTCCGACACCTGGTACAAGCAGTGTGGTCGTATGACATGTTGTCTTCTCCTCTTGACTGCATGTGACTAGTTTCGTATTTTGGTCGCCATTTCTTCATATGAGCCCAAATTTAGGCGTCACTGGGCTCATTGGATACCCCCTAGCTAGGAAAGCCTGATACACCACCATGGTTTTGGATCTTCAATTTATGCACATTGAAAAATGAAAAATTATCCAACTCTCCAATAGGCTCGAATTTGGTGCCTAGAAATCCTATGTATTGACCCCCAACCTAGATCCTTTCATCGTGCCAAGTCCACGGTTGCTTGAAAACACCTAAAAACAAAAACAAAGAAAACTAATAAAAATGAACAAAACTAAAATCATGCAATGTTCGCAATGAAAAGAATGCAAACCGGAAAACATGCATAATTGGCATGCAATTCGCCCAATGGAGCATTATATACGAAGTTAATATGCAACAAACAAATTCTTAAAATGGATCTAAAATGGAGCCATCAACCTATTGGAAGTATGCCCTAGAGGAAATAATTTTTGTATTATTATATTTTCATATTCATAATTATGAAGTTTATATTCTATGCTATAACTGTTATGATCCTGGAATATGCGATTTAGTGGAAAACTCATATGCACGTGTGGAATGATAAACGATTCCTAGTCTTGCCTCTGAGGCTAACTCAAGTGTTGTTGGTGATCACGTTTTCCGGATCTTAGGATATCGTTATGTGTAACGGTAGTCCTAAAATAACATTGAGATTATGACGTTAGAAGAACGATCATATTGAATCAACCCAATCATATCTGTTATGAATTAAGTTAATATCGTTTGTAATTAATTGTAATAACACGAAGTATCCTAGATACAGATCAACCAACTCTAATGTCACCTAGATACTCCAATGTCACCATGAGTATCCATGAGTTGACTACATGATATGTATCAAACAATCTCAGATTTATAATACTCAATCCAACAGAAAGAACCTTAGAGAATGTCCCAACATTTCTACCGGAGGAACAAGGACAAAAACATGCACCAACACTGCAAAAAAATGCACTTCCGTGATGATACGTGTTTGTCACAGTAGGTCACGTTTTCTGTCATGCATGTATATCCATGACGACTTTATGACAGAATCAAGATAGTCATACCTGTGCTGTCATAGAAGTGTTCCATGACATTACCAAAATTATCATCATGGAAG